CGGTGCCGGTGTCGGTGCCGGTCCCACAGCGCGTCCCGCCCGCGGGTGGGGCCCTGACAGTCCCCGCCCCTCCGCGCATGCGCCGTGCGCGGACAAGATGGCGGCGCCCGTGGATCTGGAGCTGAAGAAGGTACGAGACCCCCGCCCGTGTGTTCTTCTTTTATGTGTGCTCCCTCCTTGTGCCCCACCCTTCCACTGTGTGTCCTGCCCACTGTGTGTGTCCCCCCGTGTCCCCCTCCGTGTGCCGGGGTCGCCGGGCGGTCCCCTCGTGCCCGCAGCCCGGGGCCGGTTGTGCCCCCGCCGCTCCTCACCCCGGCGCTCTCCCCTGGCCAGGCCTTCGCGGAGCTGCAGGCCAAGGTGATGGACACGCAGCAGAAGGTGAAATTGGCCGACCTGCAGATCGAACAGCTCACCAAAACCAAGAAGCACGCGCACCTCACCGACACGGAGGTGATGATGCTGGTGGACGAGACCCGCATGTACGAGGGCGTGGGGCGGATGTGAGTATCGGCCGGAGCGGGGGCCAGCCCGGCTCCCTGCGCCGGGAGAGGGGCCTCTCAATTCAGGAACGACAGTGAGGGGCTGGAGCGTGTCCAGAGAAGGATAACGCAACTAGGGAAGGGTCTGGAGCACAAGGACTGGCTGAAGGAGCTGTGGGGGCTCAGCCTGGACGAAAAGAGGCTCGAGGGGAACCTTCTTGCTTTCTTCAACTTCCTGACTGGAGAGTGAAGTGGTTGTCAGGCTCTTCTCCCAGATAACAAGTGATGAGAAGACAGAGTCTTAAACTGCACCAGTGGAGGTTTAGGTAGGTCATTAGGAAGAATTTCTTCACAGAAAGAGTGATTAAACATTGGAAAGGGTTTCCCAGGCGTGTGGTGAAGTCACTGTCCCTGGAGGTGTTTAAGTAAAGACTGGACATGGCACTTAATGCCATGATTCAGTTGACAAGGTGGTGTTGGGTCACAGGTTGCACTCTGTGACCTCAGAGGTGTTTTACAACCTGGTGGATTCTGTGATTCTGAGACCCCCAGGCTCAGTCTCTGTGAAGCCTCCAGGCTGCTGCCCTGGGCAGGAGGCTCTCCCCTTCACAAAGAGCATGTCAGCTTTCTGTCAGCACATTTGTTCCTTTTTTTCTCATTGTTTTTTTATTTTTAATTTCAGCAATCTGCCTGTGAATGCAGTGAGGCTTTCTCCTTTACCTCTTGGGGTTAGGTACTGTCTGTTACAATTTATATTGGCCTTGTATGGTTTTGCTGGCTGGCTCCTGACCCTGATGCTGTCCTCTGGCACCTCTGGGGAGTTTGTAATTTCAACTACCAGAGCAGTATACTCTAATGCCAAATGGCATCTGTGAGAAGGCCCTCACAGATCTGCCCAGCATCAGTCATTTCCAATTTAGTTTGTGTCAAACTCCTTGAAAACCCCTGTGCATAGTTCCTGTGCTTGGGGCTTTGCTGGCACAGATGTGTTACAGAAATGTCCTTTGCAGTGTCATGCCAGGGAATGGATCTAATGTTATTGTTTGGATTTTTTTCAAACTCTTGGAGGCAAACATAAAGCTGGGATGGGTAGTCCCAGTGCACTCTTAAAGATGTCCTTCTGTGTGTTGGATGGCTGTCAACAGAAACTCCTTAAACCAGACAGAGGTGTTCTGAGTAATTTCTGCAGTGAACTGTGGTGGGATTTCAGCAGCCTGTGATAGAAGACCCTATAAAGTGGTCTTTATACAGAGTGGTTTTACCACTAAAGTGGTTTCAAATCTGAAACACGTGCTTGCTTGACAAATATCACATTAGATTTCTGCATTTCTGATTTGAGAAACAGGATTTTGTCTCATGTGAGTTGTGTAACAGTGATGACTGCCCAAGTCGGGATGTGGTTTGTGAAATACTGGATCTGCTCTGACTGCTGCCAAAAGGGGTGATTGTATCGACCTCTTCCCCACCCTGCTTACCCCACCTTCTTTGTGTTAAAGTGGGTGACCACAGGACTGAGCAGTGAGCCAGGTCAGACTTCAAGTGCCCTCATCCATCAGCCCACGCAATCTCCAGACCAAGTTGTAGGGAGGTGGCAGGACTGGGAAGCCAGGAATGATGTGTACTTTGCATTTTGCTGAGAGTTTTCAGGGGAGTTGTACCCAGGCTAATGGAGCTGTTCAGAGTGGCAGGGTTCCCACTAAATAAACTTTTCCAAGTAGGTGCATTAAACGTTGGGTTTGGTGGAGCTGCTGGTGATATCGAAAAGAGACAGATTCTGGTCTCTTGCAAGAGGTAACTGATTGACCCAGGCAGGCTGTAGATGTAGCAAACACTTGTGATGGAGTAGTCATGAGATGTCTCAAAAGGCTTTTTTTCTGTTTGGGTTCGTCCCAGAGCAGGCAGATGAAGAGTAAAAGATAATTCTGGAGTCTACATGTTTTTCTAAAGCTTTTTGAAAATTTGAAAGTCCAGAGTGCCTTTAGACTAGAAAAGTCCCTCAAGGTACTTTAGGAATGTCGGTTTTTATTGTTAAATAATCCTGCCTTTGAATCAGATGTGGGAAGCAGATGTTATTTCATTGTGGTGAGAAGTGCATTGTCCTGCTTTCTGCTTCTGCCTCCTCCTTAGCAGTAAGACCCCTTCTTGATGTGCTAAACCATTTACCCTTCCTGTGTGCAGGAGCCCCAGTCTCCTGGGGAATCCTCTCTTCCTCACCTTTCCATGACCAGACAGGTGTGAGGCACGGCTGGCAGCTCCAGCTCCTCGGGGGTGGCAGAGGCGCCAGCAGGAAAATATTTGCATTATGATTTGTTTAAAAACTGAACTCTTCATGGGCTTTGTTGTATTAGTTGCTATGCAAATACAGATTAAGAGAGTGCTTTTCTTCTCAATGCTACTCATTCATTCTTTTTTTTCCCTTTTTTTTCCCCTGCTTAAGCTTGACGGAGTATTTCTGTGAGCTCTGCCTGTCCTGGCTGTGGGGCTGAAGCTGCCCTGCCAGTTGGCAGTGATACACTGGTGTGATTTGTGTCACTTCCTAGTGCAGGGAGCTTGCACCAAGTACTTGAGGAACTTCCTGGAGCCCACTCCAACCACTAGT